ACCAGTTGATGCCGTGGAAGGACGGTGTCGTCTTGTATTTGTCGTGTTTCTTCACTGTGCTTTCAAAGTCTGTAGGGCTGAATGGGTCTCCTAGTTTCAACTCCACCCCCCACCCCCACACACACTTCCAATTCTGTTTGGTTCTTTTGCTCTCTGAGAGTCCTCCAGAGGGATATCTTTACCATGACTCATTCCCACACTACTAACTCCCCATAATGAAACCCCAAATCTCCAAGATGGCTGAAACGTCCATGATGAATTCAGAGTCCTTCTTTGAACAAGAATTAATGAGTATACAGATGACTCAAATAAGCAGGTGTGCTAAGGAAGTCTATTCCCTGACAGGACAGTCTCCAAAGTGAGCTAAACAGTAAATTGGAGAAGGAAGTTCAAAAACAGAGGGAAAAAAAATCAGCAAGGAAATTGATACACTGAAAATGAACTAAGCAGAAGTTCTGTAAGTGAGAGTCCATCAGTCAATAAAAACGACATCAAAAAGTGTCGACACCAGACTAGAGGACACAGAAGAACGGATTCAGCGATGGAAGAAAGGCAGAGACAATATGCCCAGACACAGACAAAGGAAGACAGCCAACGGACGCAACAGGAAGGAACCCTGAACCTTTGGAAATCTGCTTTGTGAACAATCTTTTTACTGCGGATCTTTTTTCAAAGCGCTGGTGTGTCCTGGCCTTCTGCTCTCCTGCTCTCCATCGGAGGCCCTCGAGCAGGCTCCAGGGGGCTGAATCCAGGCAGGGAGCCAAGGCCCAGCTGAAATCCTGCTTCACTCAGACAGCTCTTCCTGACTCCTCAATGGGTGTGCTCTCTCTCCTGGAAACTCCTACAGTTTAATTTCCTCTTGGAACACTGCTCAAATTCTGCCTAATATGGTATTAGGTACATTACGTTTTCATCAGACCCTGAGTTCCTCCTCACAGGCAGGGTCTACGTTTTACTGCTGTGTTTCATAAGTATCTAAGCTAGAGTCGGGCACACAGTAGGTGCACGCAACCTACATGTAGAACTGAAGCAAAGTTAGTCCACTGAACTTCATTGAGCCCTCTCCAACTTGGGTGTTCTGAACAGCAAACTACAAGTTTGAGAAGTACACCCGGTTCTCCCTCTTCCACTAGCCCTTGTTTATGTCACCTGTCTATAAGGTACAGTACTAAAAAAAAAATTGCAGCCGGGCGGGGGTGGTGCATGCCTTTAATCCCAGCACTCGGGAGGCAGAGGCAAGCTATACACTTCGATGATATAAATGCTCATTGAACATCTTCAAAGTACCAAGCATCATGCTAATTGCCAGACACTGAACAGAACTTGCCCTCACTCAGCTCAAAATACAGAAGAGACCCAACATATACATGGGTAATTGAAAATACAAAAATAACTAATAATCTCCATTCAAATAAAAAGTATTATGTATACAGTTGATTTCTGCCTCCTAAACAATTATAATCTCTGGATCTAGCTGATATATAAAAAACAAACTAGCAAAAATAAAACAACCCACTAATAAGTTAAGTACCTACTAAGTTTCCTAGGCTGGTAAATTTAGAGGATCCTCTTTCACAGGACCAGGAAGACGGCTCAGTGGGTAACGGCACTTTTAACTAAGCCTGATGGACTGAGTCCAATTCCTGGAACTGACATGGTGGAAAGAGACAACCAACTCCTCCAGATTTTCCTCTGACCTCCACACATGCGTGGTGTCGGCACACTCCTGCCCCCCAAAATAAAGAAATTAAGGTTAAAAAAACCCTCTACAAAGTCTTCCTGCCCTCTTACAGATCTTAGTTGTAACTAACAACTGCAATAGAGCTAAGAAGGACTTCCTTGCTATCAGCCAGACCCTGGCAGGCAATGAAATCTATTATCATACTTAATCCTCAAAAGAAAACATGAACAGCCGTTTTCACCCCCATTTCACACACAGGGAAGCTGGGCTGGAAAAGTTAAATGACCCTCCCAGAGCCAGTCAGTGGTAATGTACAATTTGGAACTGGTGTGCGTAACTTCCACTAGAGTTGGCACACGTACAATGTTTTTGTTGTTGTTGTTGTTTTTTGGTTTTTGGTTTTAGTTTTAGTTTTTAGTTTTTCGAGACAGGATTTCTCTGTGTAGCTTTGGAGCCTGTCCTGGAACTCACTCTGTAGACCAGGCTGGCCTGGAACTCACAGAGGTCTGCCTGGTTCTGCCTCCCAAGTGCTGGGATTAAAGGCGTGTGCCACTGCCGCCCGGCTACATACAATGTTTTTACAATCAGTTGTGTATTGTACATTGCTAATCCTCCCCTCCTGACAAATTCTGGGAGAGCAATGGACAAACTTTTTTTTTCTTTATATTCCTTCAGTGCCTTGAATATAAACATGAAAGCCACTGGGCGAATGAATGGAAAGAGTGTGTAGCATAGCAATTCCAGGTAAAGGAATCCAGATACAACTAAATCGCTTCAGTGTGGCCACCAGTATCCAAGATGGCCTCCGGAGACTGCGCCTCCAGCTAGAGGCCTTCTTGTGTAATTCCCTACCACAGTGCCTCAGTGCTGTCCTGGATGGGGAGCCAAGTCTCGTCCCTGGCTGTGACAGGAAGGGTAACTAACTGGCAGGTGACTAACTCTCACTGTGGGAGAAGCCAGCAGCCCCATGAGGAGACCCATATAAAGGGCAACCAATTTACCACCAGTGGCTTGTGACTACTCCAGGTGGCTGCTTTTAGGGTGGTGTGTCTAACCCTGGGAATGTCTCAGCCAGCATCTGATTCCAATCTCATGATAAACTATAAACCAAAACCACACAAGTATTGCTTTGGAGGACTTAAGTACAAAGCTCACGACGGAATAAATGGCCATTCTAAGACATTGACTTTGGGAGGGGACATTTGTTACACAGCTTAAATGGCTAATGCAAAAGACACTGAAGATTAACTCCACAAACGAAGAAGGGCTAAAGATGGAGGCTTCAGAGGAATTATGAGACGAATATAGACAAAGCAAAGACAAGAACATGAGGGAACCTTGCATGAAGCAAGTACATCCCCACCAAGAATCTCAGACGTAGAAAAAAGTCTAACAATCACTTTGTCCAACCACTCACCAGTGGCCCATTTAAAACATAATAAAACTAACTCAGGGCTTACCTGAATTTAACCTGAAACCCAGACAACTGACTTCCTTGAGCTGGCCTGCACAGTGAGGGATGGGGATACAGCAGCTCCCCATTATCCGTGGTTCACTTTCCATGGTTTCAGAGAAATAAGCAATTCGTAAGTTTCCAATAACTTTTGCTCACTATGCTGTCACGGTAACACACCATTGGTGATGAGGCTAAGGGGAGAGCAGGGTCCTAGTCACCGCAGAGAGCACATTCTGTATCTGATCTGAGGGCGTTTCTGAAATGAGGTGAACACATTGCAGGAGAGACAGGCACTGGGAGGAAGAAAACAAGGTTCGCTGGGATGCTATGCAGTCGACATTGCTCTGAGCTTTGTAAACACCTCATTTTACCCCCAAAGCACCATTATGTCCTTGAATCAGCTCAGTTCTCTTTTCCTTTCTTCCCAGGAGGCGTTACACCTTATCCTACTGGTGGAAGGCAGGGATAACTGCCAGACTCCAGCAGAGGGCTATGTCCTCATGCTCCTAAACTCCCCACAAAAGAGGGAGAATCAGAGCATCGGAGTGAGGCTCCAGCAGGCTAGAGAGAACCCACTACCAGCTTCACAGCATCCCTTTCACGGAGCGTGCATGCACACACTTCCCCCACACTGACTAGTGCAATTCTTCCAAGAAAGAATGTTTCCTAGAGAAGAATGGGAAATTTTCACACCCACAACATTCTTTGTCCTGAGGGAAAGGTGTTTTACTGGTATCCAAGTTAATTATTTTAGAGGCTAGTAATGGATTCCCCTGTAGGAGTGGCCCCTCCCTTATGCATGTGGATACAGGCATTGGCCTTTAACCACAGGGAAGCATGAGGAAATGCTTCATGTGGGGAGCAACCTGTAAAAGACATCGACACACACACACACACACACACACACACACACACACACACACACACACGGCATGTAAGGGATGGCAGAAAGGGGCTCAGAGCAAAACCCAAAGAGGTCAGTTTAGTGACTACTTCTCACTGTGTCATCCTCCTGCATGTGTGTGGGGGGAGGGGGGGATCCTATGCTGGAATGAAAATAAGGAACAAGGTCTGTAAAGTTTTCTCAAAGAACTTAAAATAGCTGACTGTCCCTCTAAGAAAATAAAATTCTGGTGTGTGTGTGTGTGTGTGTGTGTGTGTGTGTGTGTGTGTGTGTGTGAGAGAGAGAGAGAGAGAGAGAGAGAGAGAGAGAGAGAGAGAGTACATATCTGTGTATGAATGCATGCACATGTGGAGAACGGGGAAGGTAGAAAATACAGCAAATAAAGGCTTATAGCATAGTGATCACGACACCTTAGCACCTCTGGAGTTAGAAAAGCCAGTCCTTCAACAATGATGGGCAGCAGCATTGCTGATGGGAATAGGCATGAGAGGGATACCGACAAGAGAGTCCAGAAACGTTCACCAAGATCCCACACGTGGAGAGTCAGTAGAACATGCTGGAAAATGGTTAAGGCGATGCCTCCAGAGGTTTCTCCAGATAAGAATTATCATAAAAATCCTTTGTCAGGAAAATGATATGATCCCTTAAAATAAGTGGCTTCCTGCACTGCTGGATATCATCAACTGAGAGGCCAGCTTGATTACAAAGGGCTGCTCTGCTGCCCAAGGCCCAAGTCAAAGAAAGTAAGACGATTCAGGGACAGCAAGTTCGCTGAGATGCAGCTTAGCACAGAGAAGGGCATGCTGTGCCTCTTGGCTTTTACCACATCCTTAGAACCAGGCAGTGGGTGTGTGGCTAATGTTGATGCTGACAATAACAGAGCCCACACCTGTCTCCTCAACCAGCTAGAGTCATAGGGTTTAAGGCCCCCCCAGTGTTTTGTCCTGCTCGGTTTTTACCGTCATTGAAGCCATCGCTAGTAGTCACGTGGGTGAACGGTGACTGAGCCCGGGGCTCCTCGCTCAGGGAGTAGCTGTGTTCAGCCTGGATGAGAGGCGCTGGTGATGTTGGAGACGGCTCCACCTCCATCGACACACTCTTCTCTGAGAGGAAAGGGTCATTCAGGAGCTGACCCAAGACGTTCTGGGAAAACTCATCCAGAAGTTCTGAGAAGTGCTGCAAGAGACAGAGGAGGAAGAATTCAGGTTTTCTTGCTCTTGATCTGACACCCAACACGCATACTTCAAGGCAAAGAGACGCGTAGTCATGTGCAAAATCCACTTGTCTTTCTGTCCGTCAAACCGTGGCAGTGGGGGCTGGAGACGGCTTAGTGGGTAAAGCACTGGCTGTGCAAGCAGAGGACCTGAGTTTGATCCCCAGTACACACACGGAAAGACAGGCACGGTGGCATCTGGAATGCCAGTGCTGGGGAATCAGAGACAGGGGAACTGCAAGGGCTTGCTGGCCAATCAGACTTAACTAAGGAGCCCCAGGTCCCTGCAAGAGACATTGCCCCCAAAGACACGGTGAATAACCCCTCATGGCACTAGGGTTGACCTCTATCTAGCCTGTGTGTGTGTGCACACACACACACACACACACACACACACACACACACACATACTATTTAGTGATTTAAACTAATCATAACTTATTATTCCTTGTCACTCTGGGGTTGTCTGAGTGAGGAACTGACTTCATTGAGATGCCATGATACAGTCACACTGAACTGCATGCTTGGCTAGGGGCCTTCATTCAAGGAAGCTGGGTGGGGCTCCCTGACAGAACGGCAGACATCTTCCATGAAGAATAAAATGAAAGATGAATGACCTCCGAATCATGCATCATTGTCACATAACATCCTGGCCCCCATGGACTCTCTAGTCAAGGCAAATGACAAATCCAGTCCAGGCTCACGAGCTGGCACAACACAACTCTACTTCCTGGGAGAAGAGTGTGGCTGGATGGTGTGACTCCCTGACGGTCCTTGCTGGAAAGATCAGCCATGTTCTGCTCTAGCAAGATCTTTAAATAAGTTATCCTCTATTTCCACCGAGTGAGAGGGTGGCTATAGCAAGGTGCCCAGTTCAAAACTATTAGAGGCAGTGCTGTAGTTTGGATCTAGAATGTTCCCCCAAAAGTCTATATGTTAAAGTTTTGACCCTCGCCCATGTTGTTATTGGGAGGTAATAGAACCTTTAAGAGACGGGGCCTAGCAGAGGATCTTCAGGTCATAGATGAAATGCCCTTAAAGAGAACCCTGGGTTCTTCCTTTTCTCTTTTTCACTTCTCAGCCATGAAATGAGCAGTGCTGTTCTGCCTTGCACCCACACATCAAGGTACGCTGGCCTGCCCAAAGCAACAGCATCAGCATGAACCAATCAGGCACAGAGATCCACTATGCAAAGTGACCAGTTACACACGGGAGCCTCCCAACATAAGTCAAAGGAAACTGCTCCTTTTTGTGAGCTGATTGGATCAGGTGTGCGTTACAGTAAGTCACTAACAGTCCACTCCTCCCTGATCTCTCCACTAGATTTTTGTTTCTTTTCCATTTAATCATTTTCCATCCTCCATTGCTAATTTTGTTAACTTCCCAGCCCCTGCCAAGCCATGAACATGCTATAAGGGTAGTCGTTGTGTAATATCCGGGGTCACCGTATCCCCTGCTCCACTGTCCATTGAAGGAGATGAAGTCCCATCAGAGGGGTGTGACGGTGCTATTCTGATCTGCAGAGCAACACTTCTCACTGCACTGTTGGTTGATGGACTAGATAATTCTTTTCGCTCTGGTGTGGAGGTACCACATATGTGGTAGATGAAATGCCCTACATGTGTGTAGCAGGGGTCGGGGGAAGGTCGCTCTGCATATGTTGGGTGTTTAGCATTTCATCGTTGACATATTGGACTAGACACATTTTAAGGGTGGTTGTGGCAGTGGCAGTGTGTGTGTGTGTGCATCTTGGACCTATTCCCCCTAGATGTCAGAAACACTTTCCCCTTGAGTGTGAAACCAAAAAACGTCTCCCCAAATTGCCAAATGTAAAACGCATCTCCAAACTGAAGCCATCCTCCCAGCTATAATTCTATACTCACTTCCATTTTCAGCAGGAAGCTGGCTCCATTTCCACCCACCCCCGCTCACTACCTGACCACTTTTGCCCTCGGACACTGACCAAGTCCTTAGAGGTTTAGATGTGATCAAGATGAGAAGAAAATCCACAGGCGTGGCAGCTACCAAATGTCAAACTTTAGGAAGACCCAAGCCTACCCAAGGCATGGCCACTCAGGATAGGGTGTCTGAAACTTCTCTGTACACAGAAATTATCTGGAGGAACTGAAAATGGAGATTCTGAATCACACGTATGCATGGGGCCCAAGAACCTTCCTTGGTAACCATCTGAATTCAGAGAGGATCAGGGCAGCTCGAAGGCTAAGATTTGAACCAAATTTCCTATTATACGGTAAGCTAAGGTCAGTGTATGGTTCCCTAAGCAGCCTACCCTTCCGGCTCGATGGATTGACGGATAATGAATATTATGAGGTGTTTGATGGAGTTCTCTTTGAAAACAAAATTATAGTAACAGAAAGGGAAGTAAATAATGCGAATTGTAAGATACAAAAGCAAGAACTGATCACAGCCTGCCCATTTCCAAACCACAATTCTGTCCCGAGCTACAAGGTCAATGCTGGCCAGATAGGCTGGCTCTCCTGAGCCCCTGGAATTCCGTGCCATCCGGAGGCAAGGCGAAGCTGCCTAGGCTGGCCTGCTCTGCTGACACCCTGTTTTCTCTCTTTGCAGCAGCACTAATGAATGTTTTCATGAACATCCTCTCGATAACCAATAATAAACCCCCTGGCTCTGTTCGCCCTCCTCCAGCTCCCTCTACTTTAGATGATACAGTAATTATCATGTTATGAAACAATTTAGCCCTAATGACAGGCGGCCCTGAAAATTCACAGTTGTTACATTATAACCTCCCCCTCTGGAGAAAGGCAGCTCCCCAGAAGCAAAAACTAACAATGCCTAACCACCCACCTCAGAATTAACAAAGGTAACTGCTGAGTGGATTGGGGACCAAAGAGATGGTGCCCAATCGGTTCCACCAGGTGCCATGACTCAGACCAGCAAAACTGTGTTAACCAGGTCTACTCCACAGACAGGCCAACCCCCCACTGCTGGTAAAGAGCTCAGGCCAGTATCAGCCCATCATTAATGCCAGCCACACAGAGAAGCATTATGGTCTGGCGGTCCAAACCCAGAGAAAAGAACAAAGTGGGCCTCAAAGGGAGAGACCTTCTGGACCCTTTGGATACTTTAGCAAGTAACTCAAGGGTTATATAAATGTAGTTTAATTGTTTCAGAGATAATAGCATCGCATTTTACCACCTTGCCTATTAATCTAGCTTTACTAGTTTACTTTCATAGTCTCCTCCATACTCAGTGATCACAGCAATCTTGTGAAGCTGTCTAGTAACCCACAGTCCAACATCTCAGTCATCTACTAGGGTCCTCTTCTTTCTAACTGAGGGGACTTTCCCCACCTTGCTTCTCCTAGGAAAGAGATATTTGAGTCTCACAATCGAGCTGCATGGAAAGTTCTTCAAAATATAACTTCAGTGGTGTGGTAGGCTTGCCTGATGAACTGAGTGACTGACCCATCACATACACTCCTACAAGAGAGACACGTCTCTGGATCGATGAGAACAGTGTGGATTAGGATACTCGAGTACCTTGTGCAGGGCTGTGATGCTGATGAAGGATGGCACTGAGGTTGCATGCCAAGCCTAAGGGTTTCCACATTCTGTGCCCTTTCTACTACAGCATGCTGCCTCATTGGAATCCACCTCTAATGCTAAGCAGACAGACTCCCAGACAGTCCATATCTACTCATGAGCACACAGTCTTCCACATGAAAACTGTACAAACACACCAAGAGAGTGTTCAGTGTAGAGGTACCTAGTATTGCCTTCTAGGATCCAACAGCAAAGAAGATGGAGTTATTGTCTGGTCCCTAATATGTATTTCTGCTACAGGGTTCAGAGTCATCTGAGTTACAACCGGGTTAAAAACCTACCTCACAACATAATATGTTTCATCCAGCTCAGTGAAGACACAGGGTAACTTCTTTTAAAGATTTATGAATGGTGTCAAGAGCAATAATAAAGACCCACTAAGGGAAAACGATTTTTTTTCCTGGTCAAGAGGATGAAATCTCTGACCTGGGTAGAGGTTAGGTCTCTAACCTGCAGTTGGGCAGGTCAATGACCAGCTTAGGAGACCAGCCTTAGGAAGGCAGTCTCACCTTAAGTCATGCTAAAGAGATAGACAGAGTAATGATCCCTTTAAAGAGATAATGTACTTACCATTCCTTTCCAGAATTCCACCCCCTGCCTGCCATGGTGTCTTACAGGGCTGCAGTCCTGTGGCTTCTGAAGTCAACCCACTTTTCCGATTTACTCAGAATAATATTGCCTTTTCTTCTTCCTACCTCTGTTCTAAGCAAGCCTCCACTGGCACTTCAGGCTTCTTCACTCTTTCTCAAAAGCTCTCCTTCCAACCTATGGTTGTTTGTCTACCATGCAGCTGGCTGAGCTCCATGCCAGCTTAACTCAAACAGCATGGCTTTTTGTCCCTCTCCAGATGTGGCACACATGTGCCTATAATCCAAGAGCTATAGTAGTGGAGACAGGAGCCAGCCTAGCTCCAGGTTCAGTGAGAGACCCTGTCTCAAGGGAATGAGGTGGAGAATGATAGAGCAGGACCCCCAATGTTCCTCTACTGGTGTCAATGCATGCACAGGTGTTTGTAGAGATGGATCTGAAGCACATCCTGCGGCCCACAGCCTAACAAGAAGAGAGCAGACTGGGACTCTGTAGCTGTCAACCCATTGCTTTTGAAATCAGTTTTTTTTCCCATGTGAAGCTCGTGTGTGTGTGTGTGTGTGTGTGTGTGTGTGTGTGTGTGTGTGTGTGTGTGTGTGTGTGTGTTGGGGGAACAGGGTGTGAGGATGATTGAGGAGTAAGAGAATGAATGTTGGACTTGGTCAGTACTTGTCCACCTCGATGAGTAGGGTGTTATGTGTTAAGGCATGGTGGAGCAGATGTTGGACTTGGTCTATACTTGGTATCATGCTTTGATTCAAGGACCTACTGGACAAACTCATGCATGTGCT